TGTGATTTGCAGCACGTCAGGCGGCCCGTTATACGAGCGATCAAGCAATGGCTTTGATCGTGTCTTCACTACTCCTCTACATATGCGGTACACACTAGACATACACACTAAGGTGTCTGTCATCGCTTCGTCTCCCTCTTGTGTCGGGGATGTGTCTGTGGCTGGCTGCTGCTGGGCATGTGCACAGGGTGGCACCGCACCGGAAGCCGGCAGCGGCGGCGTCAGCGAGGCCTCGCTGGACGAGCTGGAGTCGATGGTCTCCGATCTACTGAGGCAAACAGGGCTGTCGGTTTAGCAGCGACGAGGACGCCGACGCACACGATGACACACACACACACACACACACACACACACACACACACACACACACACACACACACACACACACACACACACACACACACACACGCACGCACGCACACACACACACACACGTCTCGCGTGTTTCCTCTCACCTCTGGCGTGGACCAGCCAAGCGGAGCGCGAGGGATGATGCCGTTGTTTGGCTCGTGCGTGGACTCGTGACCAGGATGGTTTGGCGGCAGGTACACCCAGCGCAGCACCACCCGCAGCGCATAATGACGCGAGGCAACACCGTCCCAGGGATACTCAACATTATCGGGAAGGCCTGTGATTCGTGAAGGGACACGCGTCAGCATTTGCATGACCACCGCCACGGGAACCACACCAGTCACACACGCACTTGAGCACTTTCACGCACTTGGTCACTCACACAAAAGCATGCACATGCACACACACAACACTCACACACACACTCTCTCACAGACACTCAGACACACACACACACAGCACAACACACACAACACAACACACACTCTCAGACACACACACACACACACAAACGCGTGAACATGTGTCATACCTAGGGCGGACGCGTACAGGTAGAGGAAAAGGATGGCTTGGACAATGAGGATGGTGCGCCAGGCGCCGTGCGTAATGGTGTTGCGGCGAACAGCAAGCACACCCACAACAACGAGATAGAACAGCGACACCACGTTCAGCCGCACTGGAATGGCACGCAAGGAAACGGCGCAAGACAAGTGTGTCGTATGGCAACAAGAATGCGGTTGGTTAGAAGGTGCCATGATCCCACGCATGCATGTGCATAGCAACCTGCACATGCACCCACGCACGCAAATACACACACACAGAAACACACACAGAAACACACACACGCACGCGAATACACACACAGAAACACACACACGCATGCATGCGGTGGTACTTCTTACCCAGCGCGGCAACGAGGGCAAGTACCAGGACGAGGTACATGCCAAAGAGCTCAAAGTAGTGGTTGATGACAAACTTGAGACCCGTTGACACCGCATCCATCGTCCACACTCTCGGTTCCTCCGGCACAACGCCGCCACCAAATACTCCGCTCGTGTTCGTGCTCTCGACGAGGGGGACGCTCTCCACAGCGGCAGCATCATCGTCGCCATCACCATCGGACGTGCTGCCGGATGTGGATGTGCGCGACTCGGCCATCCGTTCGATAGACTCTGGTCGTGGTGGTGGCTCGTCGAAGAAACAGCGCTGGCCTCGTGTGTTGTCGTCACCCCACAACCGTCCCCGCACATCGCGCAGCACGCGGCGGCAGATGCTGCTCAGCATCACGTAGATCTCCCACTGCACAAGAGCGAGTGGTGTCTCCTTGGTTCCGTGGATGGGGTGCAGCCCAAACCACGCTGTGTGCGTGTGTGCGTGCGTGTGCGTGTGTGTGTGTGCGCGTGTGCGAGTGTTTGTTTGTGTTGAGAGTGTGTGTGTGTGTGCGTGTGTGTGCGTGTGTGTGCATGTGTGTGCATGTGTGTGCATGTGTGTGCATGTGGGGGTGTGGGTGACGGGCATGAGTTGTGCGCTAGAAGTCTGGAGGATGCACAAGCATTCATGAGCACGCGGATTGGGTGGGCTTGTGCGTTTGCATTACGCATGCATGTGTGTGGCTGACCCCAGAATCAAGTGTCACGCCGGCTTAACACACGCGACACAACAGCAGATTAACGCCAAGAAACCATCCAACACTGCTCGTCCTCTCCCTCAGTGTGTGTTGTATGTGTGTGTGTTGTCTGCAAACGTACAGAGCTCAGTCTCGTTGATGTGCAGCTTGACTTCATGCAACTGATACGCCAGCTTGGCGAGCGCCATTGCCTGCAAGCACGAGAGGAAGCGACGATGTAATTACAGAAGTGAGGTTTGGCGTCCAAGGGTGAGTGCACAAGACAAGAGCCAAGCAAATCAGAGAGATGCAACCGCACACACACACACACACACATTGGCCCGCGAACATGCACACATGCGCATACACATCGATCTGTGCATGTACACAAGAGCAAACAAAAACAAACACAAGAACACACACATGCACACATGCACACATGCTGAGCGTACCGCCATCCAAGCAAGGAGGAGGAAGTGGAGCACGCGTTTTGACTTTGGGATGAGCATGACGAGGCCGATGAGGAGAATGGTGATGATGTCCATTCCTTCAGGTGTCGGGCGGAGTGCAGATGCAAGCGCCAGCCCAATCACAACTTGCTCAACATGCAACGCACACATGCGCAGAAACCCGACAGCAGCCTGTTTGCGTTTATGCGTGTGTATGTGTGTGCATGTGTGCGTGTGTGTAGATGCGAGCGGTGAGACTCACATCAAGATATTTGTTGATCGGAAAGGCGTTGCATACCACAATACCTCCCTCCACCTTCCCCCCCCCCCAAGGAAAGCGCATCAAAGGGCTGTACTACACGGCATTGTAACGCCACAACAGTACCGACCTTCTGCAAGATAGTGCGAGAGGGAAACATTGGCCCTTCAAACAGAGAGCGTTCTGACGTTTGCACGCGCGTTTGAATCACCGCAGCAACAAGCGTCAGCGTCGCCGGCAGCTGTGCACACACAGCACACATGAAAGCGAATGTGCACACATCACACATCAGCGGAGACAAAGCAATGGTGAGCTATTTCGAGTACAAACACAGTGGACGTGTATGGTGATGTGATAGACCGAGGTGCTCTGATCAAAGTTGCCCACACAACACAAGCGTAAACGCAAGGTTTGCGCTCGAATCACACCATTTATCGTTCGTGTGTGTGTATGCGTACACGTGTGTGTGTGCGTGTATGCGTACACGTGTGTGTGTGCGTGTATGCGTACACGTGTCTGTGTGTGTGTGTGTGTGTGTGTGTGCTAAAGTACCAAGTAGATGAACAGCCGTCGCTGTGAATTCATGACGCGGAACCCAGCATCCTCTGCAACGCACGCCCACGTGACCGTGCACGTTTTGGCACATACAGAACGCAATGCGCGCGCGTGTGTGTTGTGTGTGTGTGGTATGTGTGAGTGATGCACCTCCATCGTGCGCAGCTGACCATAGGCACAAATGAGAGCACATGATGCACACACGCAACGCAACACACAACCGACACAACATACACAGTACACGCAGCACACACACACATGCAAACGCGAACTAAACGCAGCAGGACAAACACACAAACTCACCAAGCAGCTTCTCGCCAAAGGCGCGGTTGAGGCGTGGGCGCAGGTCCTCAAATTGATACATGTACTTGGCAACGAGCACAACACCCGCATACAGCAGCACAATATACCACACCTTGCGCATGACAGCGTGCTGGCCCAGCTCAAAGAGCAGCAGCTGCACCGTCAGCAGCGCCAAGTATCCAAGACGCATGAACGTCACCGTGCCAAGAATGCCGCCAAGGAAGAGAGCAAGACACACCACAAACGCCCAATAGCGCTTTGCCTGCAGCTCAAGCCATCGGTCGGTGTTCCGAAGCCATCGAATCACGCGCGGGCCATCGCCACCGCCACCGTCGCCGTTGGTATTCGTATGCTCACGGTCGCCCGTGCCAGTACCAACACGATGTGTCTTGGTGAAGCTTGGTGGCGCGTGTACACCCTCCTCATCACCACGCACAAGCGCTGCATGACTGGCATCATGTGCAAGCAGTGGTTCTGTTATTGACGCTGCTGCCGGTGCTGTTGGCGATGGTGGTGAAGGCAAGGCATGTGAGTATGGCTGAGGCGCCACTTTGCGCGTCGCCTGCGTGCGATGGTGTGCATCCATGTTGCCATCCGCACTGCTGGTGTCGTGGTCGCAAGGCGGCAGTGCTGGCGGCTGAGACACGCGCGTTGACGGGATGAGGCGGTAGGCGAGCAGCTGAATGAGGGAGAGCCCGAGAATGGCAATGTGCCAGCGGAGATCGCGCCATATGTGGTGGTGGATGGCCGGGTCCAGGCCAAGCAGCGACTCCACCGTGCTGTCTGACGTGCGGACAGAGGGGAAGCCCCACAGGTAGTTGACGAGAATGACTGCGGTGCAGTAGAGCAGCAGCCACACCCAGTACTCCTCGCGCAGGCGCGGAAAGCCGAGGAAGGCAATCAAGATGACGAGGTAGGCTGCGTTGAACACCGTCACCTCGTTCAGGCTTGCGACGTACACAATCAGGACCGTGAGAAGATAGGCGTAACGCAGACACAGGTCCCACACGAACAGCAGAGCATCCGCGCACGAGGACAGCGCGTGCTTGAGCTTCGCCTTCCACCACGACGACGATGATGGTGATGATGGTGATGGTGACACCATCGGAGTGACTGCTGTATGCTTTCCATCATCGCCCCCATCCATGTTGGCGTACGCCTGACTGCCACGACCACCAACACCATCACCATCACCAACGCCGCTGTAGCCATGGTAGCTGTAACCCCCACGACCACCATCGTCACCATTGTCATCATCATCATCATCCTCGGCGTCATCGCTGTCATTGACGCGGCCACGGCGGCGCAACTGCTGGTCACGATGCGCGTGATGGTCGTCGCGAGCACCACCTGCTGCACGGGTTGTGGTTCTCCTGTCTGACAGGAGAGCAGTGGTGGCGGTGGTGCTGGTCGGGCTGCTGTCTCCGCCTGTGCTGCCACTGCTGCCGTGCGTGTGTGCCGTGGATCGAAGCTGCCGCTGAAACCAGGGTGTCTTCACGAACGCGCGTGCGGTGAGAGCAAAGACAAACATGAAGAGGAGCTTTGCAGCAATGGTGCCTGTGATTCGCTCGAGTGACGCGTGCTCGTGCAGACCGAGCTGCTCGGCCACGTCCTGTTGCATGCAAGCAATGTGGCAGTGGTTGTTATGCGGCGGTGATGAAGGTGCCGTAACCATGGTGGTATGAGGGATACGGTTACGGTGTGATGCGATGGTGCAGGTGTGAGCGGGCGCGATGACAAATGGCAGGGAGGAATGGGCACAGAGATTGTGGTGGTTGCGTGTGCATCAGGGAAGAGCTCGAGAGACACGTGCGTGTGAGCAAGGCACACAACATGCGCCTGTTTACGAAACTGCGACACCAGTCATGAAACGACCCCGCGTCGCAAACCCACATCGAAACATCGTCATGCCAACACACGTACACACGTACGCGGCGCGCGTGTCTGTGCATGTGTGCGTGCGCTCACGTGCGCGCATGTGTGTGTGTGTGTGTGTGTGGTGGTGGTCGCACCTTGTCTGGGATGATGTCTGGATGGATGAAGAAGAGGAGGTTGAGGAGAGTGATGACACCTCCAAAGACAATGAGGACGAACGAGCTTCGAAAGAAGAGGGTTGGTGTCTCTGGGTAGACGGCAACGAGGGACCAAGCAATCATGACAACGCCAAACCACGACGGAAACGCAAGCGCCCACGTGTACAGCGCAACCAGCGTCACAATCCAGCTCTGGTTCACGCACACCTGCCATTGGCGTGTACGCGCGCGTGTTTGTTTGGGAAGCGGAAGTTGAGGGAAGGGGAAGTTGAGAGAAGAGAAGGAGATTGTGATTACGAGTGTCTGTCGGTGTTTGCATGCACGGCTACGTGTGTGGCACACAGTGCAAGCAGCAAGCAGCAAGAACACACACCCACACCCGCACCCGCACCCACACCCACACACACACCCACACACACACACCCACACACACACACACACACACAAACACACACACACACACAATCTATCACACCTTGACCACTGGGCGCAGGAGGGTCGCGGCTGTTGTTGTGATAGAGGTCATGGCCTGTGTCCACAAGTGAGACATGAAGGACGGACCATTCTTGCTGTCGTCCCCAAGCGTATCACCATCAACAACAACATCATCATCGTCATACTGCTCCACATCATCTCCTTCGTCTCCGAGCACATCATCATCATCATCATCATCAGCAGCAGCAGCAGCATCATCGTGGTAGCCAAACCCATCGTCATCATCAACCTCATCAACCTCATCGACATGGCCGTGGCTGCGATGGGCAGACCTGCTGCGCTTGTGAACTGCAAAATCGTTGCGCATATCGCGACTGCCGAGAGGGTTGAAGTGCTGCTGCTCTTCGTCGCTGCCCCCAAGCAGCGGCTCCAGAAGACTGGGCCGGGTGGTGCTGGTGGGACCGAACGAGTGTGTGTGTGTGTGTGTGTGTGTGTGTGTGCGTGCGTGCGTGCGTGTGTGTATGTGTGCGTGTGTGTATGTGTGAATATGAGTGAGTCAGATACTGTGGAGGATACAACGTGCGACACTGCAAGCATGGCGCAAGTGCTTGGCTGGTTGTTCTTGTACACGTACATGGTCTGCGCACGTCTGAAGCGACGGAAGGGCGCCGTCTGGTGTGGTTTGTCGTGGTGTGGCATGGCCAGACAGCAGTGGCAGTGGTGTGATGTGAGACAACACATGCAGGATGCACACACCAGCACAGCCACGCGTACACATAGGCGCTGTACAATGCCACGCAATCTTACCTTCACTCACACACTCTCTCTCACACACACATACATTTACACACACACTCACACACACACGCTCACACACACACACGCTCACACACACGCACAGGCACACACACACACACGCACAGGCACACACACACACGCACAAACGCTCACACACACACGCTCACACACACACACACACACACACACACACAAGCAGGCGGTGCTGACCACGAGGTACAAGGTGAGGATCTGTGCAACAAGGAGAATCCAGAGGGGCCAAGCGAGGTCGTTGAGGCGGAGAACAGGGGAGGCGTGGTATGCTGGAGGCCGCTGCTCCACGTAGGAGATCAGACCAAGAACATCAGCGCTGGGCTCCATGGCCTGGTAGACAAAGGGGAGCTGGAACACGTAGGTTGCGGCAAGGTAGAGGGTGAGGACCGCGGAGAGGAGGGGGCGACACCGCGCCACCCACTTCTTGAGCGACGCGAAGACAAAGGCTGCGATGAGGGAGAGGTAGACGAGGTAGAAGAGGACGGCGGGGGCTGCGGCGTTGCAGCAGGTGAGCACAAACGTGCCGAGCAGCATCCAGATGCCCGTATCGCTGATGGCCACCCAGAGCGCAGTCAGGCGGCCGGTGCCTTCCTCCGGGAAGAGGGTGAAGTACGCCTGCGGGTTGAGCGGGCGCGGCACAGCCAAGGCCACGAGGGCGACGACGATATCGGGCGCAAGGAACCGCAGCACCGTGTGCCAGATGACGTCGAAGCGCACGAAGCCAATCTGTGCCAGCGTGCTTGCGAGGACGGAGTCATGGTCGAGCTTGCGGGCATAGGGCTTCTGGCTGCCGAGGTAGATCTGGAAAGCGAGCTGCGCGAGGCACACGACAGGTGCAAACACGCGCAGGAAGAGCACGATGCGGTATGCCTGCTTTGAGAACTGCAGTGGCAGCAGGAGCAGGGAGAAGAGGGCCGCCAGGTACACCAGCGACAGTGCAGACACCCGCACCAACGCAGCTGCCAGTAGCGACACATGCAGCAGCACAGCCGCAGCTGACCGCTGCAACACAGACACCATGCGCCCCTCTGTGTGTGTGTGTGAATGTGTGTGTGTGTGTGTGTGTGATCTGCGTGTGTGTGTGTGTGTGTGTGTGTGTGTGTGTGTGTGTGTGATCTGCGTGTGTCTGTGTGTGTGTGTGTGATCTGCGTATGAGCGTGCAGTGTGCTTGTGATGTGCGACGATTGAATGGTCCTTGCTGTTCTGCTGTCTCGTGTGTGTGCACGATTTTGGCGCAACGACCAACGACAACAACATGGCGCTGTTGGAAGTGGATGGTGGGGATGCAGGGACATGCTATGCGCTTGCACAGTGGACGGGCAAGGCGGGCGAGAGCAGCCTCAGCATTGCAGTCTCCAATGGCACCAACACCTTCAATGGCCAAAGTCAGAGAGAGAGTGTGTGTGTGTATGTGTGTGTGTCTGTGTGTCTGTGTGTGTGTGTGTGAGTGAGTGAGTGTCTGTGTGTGTGTCTGTGTGTGTCTGTGTGTGTCTGTGTGTGTCTGTGTGTGTCTGTGTGTGTACGTCTGTGTGTCTGTGTGTCTGTGCACGTCTGTGTACGTCTGTCTCTGTGTGTGTGGTGTCTGTGTATTCATATTGCGGTCTTTCCATCACCGCACTTCGTCCTTGCGCACCTCAGTTCAGCGCACTCCACTTGATATCACCCAACTTTGAATCTCACTCCCACGGTGGTCATGTCACTTGTTGCACTGTGCAGTGACTAGGCGGGATATGCGCGCTTGGATTAAGACAACGTCGCTGGAACATGCAGACTACACCAAACACCTCGCCCAAGCCTTCTCAGGTGTGCGTGAAGTCACACGATCGCCTGTCCACTATCACTTCCTGATGGTGGCCGAGCCCTGACCGCCACGCTCCCGTCCCCCCCCCCCCACTCTTCTGACGCAACACACACACACGCACGCACGCACAAAACACACATACACATGCACACACACACACACACACACACACACACACACACATGTATTCGATCCCTTGTAGGCCACAACCATTTTTACGACTACGTATTGCATGAAGCCAAGGTAGGCAGGTCTTGGCAGCGACGCAGACATGTAAAGCAAACGTGCCTTGTGGTCTTGTCCTTGTGTGTCCATTGTATGCTGGAACGTGCTCACGGACGATCGCTGTTGCAGGAGCTGCGCGTCAAGTTCCAGGCTGCTGACGGCATCAAGGTGAAACAGCAGTGCGACAGCAATCACCTGACATGGACATACACATACACACGCACACACACACACACATACTCACCGCCACGAGCCTCCTTTCCAGCATCCTTTGTCACTGCTTTTACCCCAAGCACACCTCTTCTCACAACTCTGTTCACACACACACACGCACACATACACACACACGCACACATACACACACCAGGTTCTGCTGGCCAAGGTGCCGCTGAGGGACATCACATCGACTGAGGAGAGCTATCAGGTGCTGGCTGCCTTTGTGGCGCAGCATGTTGCTGCGAGGAGAAAAGTCAAGCAGTTGCGAGCGGATATCGACAGGCTGAGGGATGAGACGACGGAGATGCATGAACGCGCCCATCGCGTCAAAGCGCAGCTGGCAAAGCGCACCAAGGAAACAAAGCTGCAGGTCCGTATATGACGTCTGTGTGTGTCTGCGTGTCTGCGCGCGCGCGCGTGTGTGTGTGTGTCTGCGCATGTACATGCGTACGTGTCCATCATGTGGACGTCCATCATGAGTATGCCTGACCAGTTAATGCGTCTGCACGTGCGTGTGTGGGTTCTCCGCTGTGTCATTTCATTCACACACACACACACACACACACACACACACACACACACACACGTATGCGCTCACCCTCGCACTCACCCTTCCATCGTCATACATGCCGCTGCCCCACCCTCTTGCGCCCCCTGCTTGCTGCAGCTCATCTCAGCCGTCAACAAACGCAAGACGGAGATCTACAACCTGCACCATCCAAAGTCCCCGCGGCGGCAGTGGCCATCGCTGCGGCGGCAGGGATCCTGGACGCGGAGTCAGGAGCGAGCATGGCAGGACGGGCACTCGATCGAGGTGAGGGGCAAGGCTGGTGGTGGCTTGAACGGTGGCAGGACGTGTTTGACACATACCCGACCGCTGTTGGTGGCAGTGGCGGTGTGGTGGGCAATTGTGCCTGTCATGCGCCAACGTTGCTAAAGTGATGCACACAGCCCTCGCTCATGATCATCATTTCCCTTCATCCCACCTTCATCCACCTTCACACCTTTGTTTACACCCACGTTCACTCCCCCCCCCCTTCTTCTACCCCCCCCCCCCCCAACATCCTGCCACATCAGCCGAGCTGGGACGGGCCTGCATCAGCGTCAATGTCTCCCGACCGAATGACCACAGCTACCGGTGTCAGCCATCGCGGTGGTGATAGTGGTGGTGATCATCGTGGTCACCGTCGCAGTGCAAAGAGGGGCGGTGCCGCACGCTATCATGATGACGACGACAATTATGATGATGACGATGATGGTGACGGTGGCGCTGATGGTGGCAGGAGTGGTCGTGGTGGTAATGACGGTTATGATGGCGTATCGAACGACAAGAGTGCATCATCATCATCATCATCATTGGTGTCGAGGGCGAATGCAGACACTGATGGAGACGGCGGTGCTGCTCGCAGCAGCACGCTCCTGCAGCTCGCTTCAAAGCAGGTCTGGCTGTGTGTGTGTGTGTGTGTGTGTGTGTTTGATGTGTGTGTGTGCGTTGGCTGCTGTTGGCTGTCGAAGTTTCCCCCTTGACATCATCACCACCACCATCAACAAACACCCCCTCCTCACACGTTTGCAGTCGTCAACAACGACTGGGCGGCGGCGGCGAAAGAAGCGTGCAGTCAGCTCAACATCTGCTCGACAGACCACCACCAACGACGATGACGATGAGGCCTTGCTGCTGGACCTGTGACCACCTTACCGTAATCAGTGTGCTTGGGGTATCATGTCACTACTGGTGCCATGGTGCTGGGGTGTCTTGCTGCGCCGCTGTTTCTGCAAGCTTGCTGTAGTGTTGATGTCGCTCTGGCCCCTGTACATATGCTGCTGTACTCTCGTTTTCATGCACACGCGTTCACCAAGCAGTACACTTCGCGCGCGGCTTCCTTCTTCGCTTGTACTGATTTGCATTGTTGCATTGGTGTGGGCTATCAACGTATCAATGGCAGAAACGAGGAATTGTCACGGCACGAGCAACCAGCAACCCACGAATGAATGATGAAAACACATTATTCGTGGAAGCGCAACAGCCATGGGTGCAGTAGTGATGAGGAGGAACAACGGAGTAACAACGGCTGAGCAAGGAAGGGGCTGTGGTGGTGGCGTGGTGCTGCGTGATGATTGACACACGGTGTGTGCACACAAGCGGACCAACAGCGCAAGCAGGACACAAAACAGAGGCAGTACGCACGCACACACACCACAACAACAACAACGACGCGTACGTTGGCGCGTTGCTGTGGGCAGGCGTTGTTTGACAATTTGGTTGAATGTGTGTTTGTGTGTGTGTTTGTGTATGTGTGAGTGGAGTGAAAGAGAGCAAGTGGATGGATGAATGGCCTGTGGCGCACCACAAGTCTCAGTAGCCGCCCTGGTCGCCGAAGATGCGGGCAATATCGGCGTTATGCGGGTTGACCTTTGGCACAACGTGTGGGTGCTCCTGCATCAGGTACTTCCAGAACTGCTCTGTGATGAGCGGCTGGGCGTTCTGGCTCGGGTGGAAGCCGTCCACGGGCTCAATCAGCTGCCACGCCTTCCCGCCGCGCGCCTCCCACTCCTTCAGGGCGGCCATGATCGGGTTGGGGAAGTAGTGCACGTCAAAGTTGTTGAACGTGTTGTCTTGCGTAATGTTCTTCAGCACGTTGCTGAGGAGGGCGGCGTGGGCGGAGGTGAGGTTGCGCAATGTCTCGTTGGAGTTCATCCACCCGCGGCAGGGCGAGATGGAGAGGCAGTTGAGAAAGTCGTACACCTGGCCCGTGGTGACGTCATGGTGGAGGGAGCCAATAGGGTGGATGCGCTTGGCCATGGTGTCGTACAGGATGCGCCCGTCTGCCAGCCCCATCATGAACACGTGGCTCCCGTTCGGAAGCTTCGTGTCCTGTCGATGCACGGGCGCGCACATGTGTACATGCAAGACAGTGTGTGAGTGTAGGAGTGTGTGATGTGAGTGTGTGTAGAAGTGTGGTGGGAGAGAGATTGAGCACAGGTGTGCGTGCATGTGCTTGCGTGTGGATATGGGGAAGTCTGGAAAGGAGCACATCATCATCCATCCACGAAACACAGCGATGGTGGCGCGCACCAAGTAGCGGAGCGTGTCCAGGGCGTTGTCGTGCATTTCCTTGGGCGTGGTCATGTGTGCAAGCGTGTCCGGGTGGCCGTTGCACACGTCGTTGCCAATGAGGGCGTACATCACCAGCGCCGGGTAGTCGCTCTTCTGCAGACGGCTCATCGACTGCACGATGGAGCTGTTCATGGACCCGGCCCGCGCCCCGTTGACAGCAATGTTCTGGAAGTCGCGGTGCACGCAGCGGTTGCGCCGCCACATCACCTGGTACGTCGAGTTCTGCTTGCCCGTCACGTCGGGTGCCCACTGCGTCGTGTTCTCAAAGCCGGTTGTCGCCGACAGCATGGGCCAGTCAAACTCATTCTCCAGCGTGGGCAGGATGTTTGCGAATGTCGTGTTGTCCCAGTCCACCACGCTCAGGTACTGGTAGGGGATGTGAAAGTGCGCCGAGGCAGAGTCGCCCAGCACAATGGTGCCCATTGGGTTGGTGTCTGCGCAGTACAGCTCCTCGTATGTCTTTCCAGACTTGGGCTCGATGCCGTAGATGCCGTTGCAGTTGCTGTCGACCTCACGATCGCCGTCAACGGGGCGCGCGCCAGGGTGCACCGCCGCGTTGGTGTCGCTGCAGTCCTTGCCGCGCCAGTCAGCGCCGCGCAGCGTGTGCCACGTGCTGAAGCCATCGCCGTCGTCGTCCTTGTACGGCGTGTGGTTGTCGAGGGCGACGATGAGGTCACAGATGGGCTTGAAGATCTTGAACTTGCAGAAGGCGGGCGGGTCGTCACGCGGGAGACCGCGAAGGCCCACCGTCTTGCGCACGCGGGCAACAGCGTTGTCCACGCCTTCCTTGGGTGGCGGGAACAGCTGGCAGGGGCCCGTGCACACGTTGATCGCTTTGCACACCACATCGGGCGTCTCGTGATTGTCAATGTACTCAATGATGTCTGTAAGTCAGTGGGTGAGGAGCAGCGTAGAGAGGTGAAGGGGGGCAAGTTGGTGAGGCGCAGGCTGGTGGCATGCAGCAGGTCATCAAAAGCTCAACCATAGCACGACAACACCAACTAACAACGGCCAACAACCAACAGACAACAACAAACGACAACAACAACCAACAGACAACAACAAACGACAACAACAACCAACAGACAACAACAAACAACACCAACTCAAGTAGCACAGCGCAAATGCAAAGCTTCCACCGCCCATGCAGATCGAACAAGCAGTGGTGCGTGCGGGCTGGTGTTGACTCACAAGGGCCGACTTCGTCGATGAAGGTCTTGCATTCAGCGCGGATGCCCTTTGGGAGAAGGTTGCAGATCTGAGAGAGCGCCTCGCTGGCAGATGCGTTCTTGAGCTCAGCATACTGTTCAACCAAGGCAACAGAAAGGGTACACACAGCGCACTCCGTCCCGCCATTCACGCCTGCATTCGCACCAAATCAAAGGAGTGGCGTTGACATATCCATCATACACGACGAAATGATCAGTGACTTTGATTAAAGGTGTGTGGCACGGAGGAACGAAGCACACAGCTTTCATCAATGTCCTCATTGAACAAACACATGAACACATGAACACATGGACACATGAACACATGTCCACATGACCACATGTCCACATGACCACATGACCACATGACCACATGACCACATGACCACATGAACACATGGACACATGAATGAGCACCCAAACATAAACAAACACGAAACAGCAACAAAGGTGACGGCATGACACTGGGATCAACAGCCGAGTGTAGCGATTTGGCGAACAGCCCAAACAGAAACAAAAAGCTCACCACCACGAAGGCGTGGGTCACGATCAGTGTCAGCATTTGCGGCGGCCTGAGCTGGTGCACACGCAGCCAGGAACAACACACCCAGCACGGCAGCAGCAGCAGCCACTGCCACGCCACGACAAACCACCACAGCCATCTTTGTTTTGGAGGAGGAGGTGCTTGTGGAAAAATGGTGATTATTGTACCTGATTTTCGGCGTCCGGTGGACGAGCGGGAAGCGAGAAGCGATGATGTGTGCGCATTGGCTGCACCGAGCAGTAGGTCGTGTGGGCCTGCGTGCTGGTGGTGTGGGTGCCGTGGCTGGACGGGGTTGCAGGTGTGCGTCGATAGCAGTAGGAGTAGTGCCAGGAAGAGAAAGAGCAGGAAGAAGGATTGCAGGGTATGGAACGCTGGCGTGTTGGACTCGCAACAATGCACGTGGTCTGTGCGTGCAGCAGTCGAAACTGCACACGGCAGCCACTGACACGGCAGCAGAACACCCGGCCCCGGGGGCCACTGGAATGAGGACACACACCTGTGGCGACATGACTTTATCCCTGGCAGACACCAGCGTCTCACTCACAGGCTGGATGGCCTCAAAGCGGTGCGCTGCATGTGTGTATATGGGGGGATGTGTGTGCGAATGTGTGAGAACACGTGTGTGTGTGTGTGTGCGAATGTGAGTGAATGTATGTGTGTGTGTTTGTATGCGAATGTGAGTGAATGTGCGAATGTGTGAGAACACGTATGTGTGTGTGTGGTCAGTTTGTAACGATCCTCCTGCCGTGGGGTGGTTGAGTTGCTTGCTTGCAAGAGGTGTCATCTCCTGCTGCTGAGGGATGCTGAGGATGTTCACGACCCGTCCATCATGGTTGGTCTTCGTTGAGTTCACAGCATCATTGGAGACGACCTTGTATTTGCTGTCCTGCGCGATCACTACGGAGCCGTGCAGTTGAAACTGACAGGCGAAGGTAACCCAAAGCTCCAACCGTGCTACGCACACGCGTTCACGTGTGTAAAGATGAAGGCGTGTGCGTGCGTACGTGTGTGCGTAACTGCGTGAACATGTGTGTGCGTGTGCATGTTTCACTTATACTGATGCGTTCTGACTTGGACTCGTTCGTCTTGGTTGTTTTCAGACGCAATTGATCGCGTCACCAACCTCCCGCTGGAGAGCACAATTCAAGTGCAAGGTAAGACACATCATTTGTGTGCGTGCGTGTGCGTGTGTGTGTGTGTGTTCGTGCGTGCGTACGTACATGTGTGTACATGTATGTGAGTGTGAGTGTGTGTACATGTATGTGAGTGTGAGTGTGTGTACATGTATGTGAGTGTGAGTGTGTGTACATGTGTGTGTGCGTGTTCTGGGGTGTATCGCTCTGCTGTGTATCTTCTTGTGGACGCCCTCATTTGCACACCCATGCACTACTCGGTTTTGCTGACATACACACCTCTGTGTTGCTGTGTCCGATGATGCTCAAGGGCGCGTCACCGCGAGACCTGCAGACATGGTCAACCCAAAGATGGCCAGTGGCGATGTTGAGGTGCTGGTCAGCTCGCTCGCCGTCCTTGGGACCGCCACCAACCAGCCGTTTCAGATTGGCACAGAGGGCTCCACGACACACAAACTGGTAGCATGGCGTGCATGTGTGTATGTCTATGTTTGTTTGTGTGTGTGTGTGCGTGTGTGTCAACGTATGGATACATGCTTGGTCATCTACTCGTATTCAAATGTGCATGTATGTGCATGTATGTGCGACTAGTTTGTATCGTTGCAATTCACAACCCACACCCCCTGCCTTTGATAGCCAAAGGAGGATGTGCGACTGACACACCGCCCACTGGATCTACGCCGTCCTGCCCTCCACAATGCCATCGTCACCCGCGCCCGCGTCGCCTCCGCCACGCGCCGCTTCCTCGAACACCACGGTTGGTCGTGTGCGTGTGTGTGTGTGTATGTGTCTGTGTCTGTGTCTGTGTGTGTGTGTGTGTGTGTGCGCGGTACAGCTCCCCTCTTGTGAACCCTTTGTTGGTCAGAGCGTTTTATGCCACGCTTCCCATCCGTCCAGCCCGCAAACTCATTCACCCACATCAACCCCGCTCCCCCCCCAACACACACACATCGCGCACGTGTATCTGCTCCGGTTGCGACGCAAAGGGTTTCTTGACATTGAGACGCCAACGCTGTTCAAGCGGACGCCCGGTGGGGCTGCGGAGTTTCTTGTGCCGACGCAGAAGAAAGGCCTCTTCTATGCGCTGGTGCAGAGCCCACAGCAGTACAAGCAGATGCTCATGGTTGGCGGTTTCGACAGGTGTGTGTGTGTATGTGTGTGTATGTGTGTCGTTGTTTGCTCGCGGGAGGAGTTGGGAGAATGAGTGGGCCCTTTTGGTGCAGTAGCGTGCGAGGTAGCTGCTGCTGTCTCAAGTTGTCATGCGGTACAGTCACGGAGTGAACACACGCGGTTCTCTGAAACATCGCATCATCTGTCTTCGTGGCTCACTCCCAACAGGTACTACCAGTTTGCGCGCTGCTACCGCGACGAGGGAGGCCGTCTTGACCGCCAGCCAGAGTTTACCCAGGTCAGAGTCAGTGCCCATGCGATTGTGTGTGCTTGTATGTATGTATGTGTGTATGTGTGTGTGTGCGTGACGCACGGGCTTTGGTTGTGTGTTTGCGCACGATGGTGTTTGATGCATGTGATGCACGAGTTTGCGCATGATGCACGTGCGTCCTTCTGACCCTTCATGACTTGTCGCGTCTTGTCTGTGTGCTGCTGGGCAGATTGATCTTGAAATGGCATTTGTGACGCAAGAAGACGTGCTGCAGCTGAGTGCGTGGCATCCACGTGTATGTGCGTGTGTGTGTGTGTGTGTATGTGCGTGTGCGTATCCATGTACGTGTGTCCTTGTTCGAATGTGTGTGTGTGTGTTTGTGCTTCTTGGCGACACCTGACACGACAGCGCTGCACCATGACGCGTCACAACGAACCACCATCAGCCGAGGCGCTTGTTGCTTCCATGTGGAAAGAGGGCTGTGGCGTCGACATTCCCACACCATTCACTCGCATGTCATTCCACGACGCGATGGCACAGGTCGGTTGTGTGGACTTCAGTGCAGAGTATTGTTGTGTTGTGGTGTGCAATTATAGTTGAGCCTGCTTCCGTGCATCTTGGCGTAACGTGTGGCGGTGTATCCATTCTGCAACCCGCATCCAGGGATCCTTCCCCTCTTCCCCTTCACCTCTTCCCCTTCACCTCTTCTCCTGCACAAACCCTCCCCCTCAACTACAACAAACAGTATGGAAGCGACAAGCCGGACACGCGCTTCGACATGAAGATCACAGACGCCACCGACGTCTTCTCGCCGCATGCCGTGGTGAGTCAACCTTGGGGGTGGTGGTGGCATGCGCTGTTTGTGTGCTGGCATTCACTTAACGCATCCGTTGCTTGTTGTCGTTGCTGCCACTGCTGCTGGCTGTCACTGCTGTTTGCAGCTGACACGTTGTCTGCTGTTGGTGCTTCCCGTTTGTTGTGTGCGCAGCGCGTGTGGGAGCAGGCAATGTCCCATGGAGGAGCGATTCGCGGCTTCAAGGCCGACAAGGCTGCGGTGCGTCACGCTGCTACACACCACCCTCGCATGCTGGTGGTGATTTGCGTGTTGTTCTCGGCTCGTTTGTGCTTACGTTTCTTCTTCTGTTTTCATTCTTCTGGCTCGTCCTTCTTCCTCTGTCGTGCCTTGTGGTGTTGTTACAGGCATTGTTCACCCGCAAGAACATGAAGTCGCTTGAAGATTACGCCCGTGGCATAGAGGGAGAGGTGGGGTCGCGCTCGCATGTTTGATTACACATGTACGTGTACATGCGTGTGTGTGTGTGTGTGTGTGTGTGTGTGTGTGTGTGTGTGTGTGTGTGTGTGTGTGTGTGTGTGTATGTCGCACCGGTTGGCAGTGGCAGTGACAGTGTTGGTTACGCAAGTGAGCCGTCTTCCACCCATCCCTTCCATTTTCGATGCTCCACACCACGGCCATGGCGCGATGTGTGTGTGTGTGTGTGTGTGTGTGTGAGTAATTGTGATCGGGTGCGTAGTTCTCTGCTTCTCATGTGTGCATTGTTGCGTATCGCGCAGACGGTTGTGTTTGTGCACGTGGACGATGACGGTAGCGTGCGTTCTTCCATTTTCAAGGATATCGATGATGTTGACGTAAGCATGTGTATGTGGGTATCTGTGTGTGTGTGTGTGTGTGTCCGTGCTTGTGTGTCTGTTTCCATGTGTCGGTGTCTGTGCTCGTGTCTGTTTGTGTGTCTGTTGCGTCTGACGCGTTGGAAGACGTGTTTGCAGCAGCTGTGGCTTGCCTGTTGTGTTCACACTGCAAGCATCCTGCTCTCATTCTGTCGTCACGGCTTCGTGCCGATACAACAGGTCGCCTCCGTGAAGCGAGCGCTCGTTGATCGGTTTCAGGCAAAACCAGGCGACGCCATCCTCCTCTCCGCCGCACAGCAGTCCAACCTGGTGTGTGCCTGTGTGTGTGTGTGTGTGTGTGTGTGTCTGTGTCGGTGTGTGTGTGTCTGTATGCGCATGTGTGTGAGTGAGGGAGTGCTTGTGTCAGTGTATGTGTGTGATGCACTCGGTACATTGCGATGACTGCCATCATCATGTCCGCTCTGTCTACAACATGCTCCATGTTTATACGTGTGTGTGTGTGCAGCTGCCATTTCTCGGCAAGTTGCGGACGAAGGCGGCGTCCATGCTCCAGGACGCGGGGCTGCAGCAGCTCGATCCAAAGTAAAGAAGGCGTTTTTCACGGTTTAAGTTGTTGCTGTTGCTGTTGTTGTTGCTGCTGCTGTGACTGCACGAGCCAGATCGCCGCTTGTCTCTTGCCACCACTGCCCGTTCTTGTGTGCTCATAAGTGTTGCTGGCTGTCTCACGTACGTGTGATGCTATCATACCATGCGCCCTTCACAGGGACTTCCGGTTTCTGTGGGTGGTTGACTTCCCGCTCTTTGAGCCGCATGAACTGGAAAAAGGTGCGGACTCGTGCAACATCGACTCTGCTTGTTTTACTCTCGCTGACATCTCGGGCACCGACGTGTCCGTCACTCGGCCCCTCGTTCATAAGCACACACGCACACACGCCAGACACATGCCCACGCTACTTGCACTCACACCTAGCATGTCCCACAACTTCACCATCCTTCCTTTTGTCTGCTTCTTTCTCGCCTTCCTTCTCTTCCTCTTCCTCCTCTTCCTCCTCTTCCTCTTTTCTCACCAATTGCAGGCCGGCTGCAGGCGTGCCACCATCCCTTCACTGCCCCGCACCCCGACGATGCCGACCTGGTCCGCGCTGGTGGCGGCGCCGCAACACGCGCGCGTGCGCAACACTTTGATGTTGTTGTGAATGGCGTTGAGCTTGGTGGTGGCTCCATCCGCGTCCATGACCCGGACCTGCAGCTCCATATTCTCAAGGACATCTTGCACGTGCGTGCACAACGGGCTGCATCATGACTTGTGTGTGTGTGTGTGTGTGTGTGTGTGTGTGTGTGTGCGTGTGTATACCTGTGTGTGTATACCTGTGTGTGTGTATACCTGTGTGTGTATACCTGTGTGTGTATACCTGTGTGTGTATACCTGTGTGTGTGTGTATGCGTGTGTGTGTGTTTGCGTGTGTGTGTGTTTGCGTGTGCGTGCGCATATCTCTGTGTGTGTGCGTATACTTCAGCGACTAACACGTACGCGCACGTGCATATGCGCCGCCTGCGCTTCTTGGGTCGTACAGGAGGACCCTGCTGTGTTTGAGCAGCTGCTTGGTGCACTGCGCTATGGCGCACCTCCGCACGGCGGCATCGCGTTGGGGTTTGACCGTGCCATGCTGTGCATGCTTGCTCAGACTGGCGCCGTCAGCCTGCGTGACACAATGGCCTTCCCGAAATCGTTTGCCGGCAAGGAGCTGATGGTCAGTCGTGGTGATGATGCGCGTGTGTCTACGTGTGTTTGTTTGTTTGTTTGTTTGTTTGTTTGTTTGTTTGTTTGTTTGTTTGTTTGTTTGTTTGTTTGCTTGCTTGCTTGTTTGTTCGCTTGCTTGCTTGCTTGCTTGCTTGTTTGTTCGCTTGCTTGTGTTTCGGTGCACGCAAGGATTATCATCTCGCTCATCCACCCCTCTCACCTGTGTGTCGTGTAGTCTGGCAGCCCATCGGAAGTACCAAGGGAGGATTTACTCACGTATCATGTTCAAACCGTAGATTCGCCACCGTGAGTGTGTGTGTGTGTGTTCATGTGTGTGTTTGTATCTGTAATTGTGTTCGCAGTTCACATTAGACGTTTGAGCTCGATGAGTGCATGTGCCAAACAAGCACGGTCACAAGCAAGCAAGCACGGTAGCTAGTGTGAGTTCATTGGGATGGCTGCGTTTGTGTGCAACTTCCACGGGAGGTAGTGTTCGACAAGGAAGCGCGGCCGTTCTGGCGAGTTGAGGATTTCAATCTCAGCCTTGTGCTCCATCCTTTGCAACAGGAGCAGCTCTTCTCGCATCTGTTGTGGGAGATGCTCCCGTTCACTCAGCGCCTGCACGTGTGGTGACAAGCAGCGAGGCGTTTGTTGTGAGCACGTGTGTGGTGTCGGCGTGGGTGTGCACGTTGCTTTGGTTGATGTGAAGTGTGTGTTGCAGAAGGTGGTACCGTGCGTGTTTCCGACCATGTCAGCACGTGTCAAATGGCACAGAGTTCTCTTCACCTCGAGAAGGCGGTATTCCCTGTCAGACATTCGGCTCTGCGGGTGGAGGGCGACGTTGAACCTGTGTGTTCGTGCGTGCGTGTGTGTGCGAGTGGTGTGTGTGTGTGTGTATGTGTGTGTGTATGTGTGCGAGTGGAACGTGTGTGTGTGTGAATGGACATGTGATGTGATGTGGGTGATATGGCTTTTAAACCTTGTGGTCTGCTTGGTTGCTTGTGTGCAGCAAAGTACTGTGATTCATGATCAATGGTTGGTGTGCTGGTGCGTTTATCGTTTATGCCAGCGAGTGTTTGCTTACTCTGTGAGGTCTGACGGAAAGACGCCAAGCCAGCGAATGTGCGGGACGGCCAATTCGTGGTTCTGGAATGCGAGGGACTGGCTTCCGTACGCATACGTGCAGAGTATCTGCGTCGTGGCCGTGCCAATGTGACGGAGGACGGGGCAGCATGAGAACACGGTGTGATATTTGGTTGCGTTATCGGGTTCAACACATTGCCTCGCATGGCATGTGTATGTGTGTGTGTGATCGATCACACTGCGTTGGCTCGGCACACAGCACAAACGCCCGCTCTGGTTTGCGTGGAATACCTCGAGCCCGTGCGCATCGGCGTCGACCACGACATAGACAGGCACCTGCTCTGCCACCAGCCTCACAAAGTATCGGGTGTCCACCCCAGGGAAGCCTTTGCCCTGGTGTAAACACGCGCGCGCGGGTGTGTGTTCAGAGGAGAAGTGCGTGGGTATACAAGTGTGTACAGCGAGGCGTGGTGGTGTGGTGCGTGCGACTTCGGTCAAGGAACCGAGGTATTGCAAGCAACTTGTGGTCACATGGACATTGGCTCACCGTGATAAGGAGACAGTTGTGGGTCTCGGCGAAGTTGCAATCCACAAGTTGCTGCGGGTGTTGTCAAGACAGGCACGTGAGAAGACAAATGATGCGCAGCAACATGGTATGGTAATAACGAAACTTTCCCTCTGCATTCTGCCCTCCACACGTACACACACACACACACACACACACACACACACACACACACACACACACACACACACACACACTGCACGCATTGCATCCACCTGCGCACTGACTCAACACACCTGAAGGATGGCATCCTTCTCAACGACGAGGGCACAGGTCGCTGTCACGTGGAGTCGAAGGTCATCTGTGATCGCAGGAATTGGCCGGGTGCCACCGTGATGCTGCTGCTGCTGCTGCTGCTGCTCCTCCTGTTCTTGCTGTGATTGGTGGGCTTGCTGTTGTTGCTGTTGCTGCTGTTGTTCGTCGTTGTTGTTGATGTGGTTGTTCGTCATGTCGTGTAGAGTCACCGGCGCTTCTCTGTGCTGGGGAAGGAAGACCTCGACGGGACCGTGGTACAGGCCACGGGAGCTGGTGCTGAGCAAGAGGGAACGCCTTGGCACACCAAGCATGCAGCTTACCAGAAAGATGGCACGATCGGCGGAGTGCTGCGTTTGCCCGAACAGGTCGATGTTTGAGTAATACACGTCCCGGATGGATCTCGGGGCGATGGAGGTGACGCACACGTAGATCTCGCGCATGACGTCCAGTGCCCGCACAATGCGGGGCTCGAAGATGCTCTCGCGCCGAAACCTGACGCGGCATGCATAGTACATGCGGTGTGGGTCAAAGTGGGGCACGAGCACGGGCACTTTCACCGTGACGCCCGCACCAGCACTGCCACCGGCGCCGGTACTATCACCACTGCGATCACCATCATTGGTCATCGCGCCCAGCAGTTGCCGCAGGATGTCCTGGACCACCTGCTCGATCCGCCAGGCGATAACCTCTGGCGGTGCGGGCTGCACTTCAAACAGCATCAGCTCTGCATCCTCGTCGTCACCGTCGTGCAGGCGGCCAGTGCCGCGGCTGTTGAACAGGGCCATGAGGGGGGGGGGGAAGTAACAGCAATGTGACGTTCGTGTACACTATAACAGCTACCGAGGAGGAGGAGGGAGTAGGAGGAGGAGGAGGAGGAGGAGGAGGAGGAGGAGGAGGAGGAGGAGGAGGAGGCAACAGAAAAGAAAAACGGCGGGAAGCGAAGGTCTGAAGGTGCACTCGTGCAGTGACCTCGCTCGCTTGCTTGCACGCACATTTGCTGAGGTTTGAGTTTGGCGGGAAACGGCCAGCCGTGTTTTGCGCGGGAAACATCCAAACAGGAAGGAAGCAGCAGTGTCGATGACAAAACATTTCCACACAACGCACACAACGCACACACGCATACACAACACACACAGCGCACACACGCACAACGCACACACACGCACACAACGCACACACAACGCACACAACGCACGCAGACACACGATGTTGACGATTGAGGTGTGCCTGGCAGACGAGAGTCTGGTGCCAGAGCAAGAGATCGAGGGTGCGGTGGGCGAGGTGCTGGGACAGCTCCGCGACACGCAACAGGACAGCTGCGCTGATGGCTTTGACAAGAACAGCTTCGTGTCCATGTGCGGGCAACATCCAGTGCTGACACACAACGCCACATCGATTCGCTGCAGCGGTGAATGGGTATGAAAAGAGCGCGCGCGTAGATGCGAGACGGGCGTGCATGTGCGTGCTTCTGCGTGTGTGTTTATGTGTGTACATTGTGTGTTTGTGTGCTTGTGCGTGCATGTGTGCTTGTGCGTGCATGTGTGTGTGTGTGTGCGTGTGTGTGAATGGAGGAGTGACATGATCACGGGTGCAGAAGTTATGTGGCAAATTGCTCTCTGCACCACCACAAGCATGTACGCACAAGCTCATGCCCAAGCACACGCACATATGAATGTATGCACACCACCCCTTCCCTCACCTCCTCACACTGACCGTGCAGGTGCCAGGTACGGAACCTTCCGTGTGCGTGTACCGCCTGCATACGGACGGTGCAGTGGAGGAGCACGACGCAGAAGAAGAAGTCACCAGCGCGCTGCAATGGGTGCTTCCCGCGGCAGAGTTTGACAATCTGTGGGACACGCTCATCTACGACACCGACGTCAAGCAGAACCTGCTCTCCTTTGCCACCACCACGCTGCTCTTCTCCGATCACAACGTGAACCCAGACATCATCAGTTGGAATAGAGTGGTTCTTCTTCACGGACCTCCAGGCACCGGCAAGGTCAGTGCATAAGCCCGTGAGGCTGCGTGTGAGGTTTGCGCCTGTATACGGGCGTGCGTCTGTGTCTGCGTGTGCGTTGTCTTGCGTGTGTGTGCGCTTTGCATGTCACCAACACACACACACACACACACACACACACACACACACACACACACACACACACACACACACACAACGCCCACACAACGCACGGCTGTTGCAGACAACTTTGTGCAAGGCCCTGGCACAGAAGCTGACGATCCGCTTCTGCAAACGGTACGTCGCCTTCAACCAACACGGGCACCCGTGCTTACTCGCATCACCCGCGAACAAACACAAGTCTACCCCTTGCAACCCTCACTGCAATCACAACTGTTGGTGTTCAGGTTTTCGCACGGACAGCTGATTGAAATCAACAGCCACAGCCTCTTCTCCAAGTGGTTCTCCGAGGTCTGTATGCGTGCTGGTGTGTGCGTGTGTGCGTGCTTGTGTGTGCGTGTGTGCGTGTTGCACGCGCCTGTGTGCGTTTGTAGTATGCCGGAGGTGGGTGCTCAATTATTGTCACTCATGTTATGTGCCTCAACTCGCCCGCTCAACATCACTCCCCTTCCCCAATGTCATCCATGTGCAGAGTGGGAAGCTCGTTGGCAAGATGTTCCAATCGATTCGAGAGCTCATCGAGAACGAGGATTCGTTTGTTTGCGTGCTCATCGACGAGGTGAGGTGCTTGGCTCATATTCTACCAGACAGACAGACAGGCAGACAGACAGACAGACAGACACACGGACGAAGACACATACACAGACACATACACAGACACAGACACATACACAGACACAGACACAGACACAGACACAGACACAGACACGTACACACAATCGCAGACACATACACAGACACAGACACACAATCGCAGACGGATAGACAGACACCCACCCACCCCCACACCCCCTCCAAACACACACAGCGACGTCCAATGTACTCGTGCCTCACCCCAGCTGACGTGTGGACAGGTGGAGAGCCTTGCTGCTGCTCGACGCGCCGCAACCAGCGGCACAGAGCCGTCTGATGCCATCCGCGTGGTCAATGCTCTCCTCACACAGATTGATCAACTCAAGACGTAATGCCTCAAGCCACACACACACACACACACACACACACACACACACGCAAGTGAAACAGATATCACTTCATATGCACCACTCACGCACACTGTGTTGTTGCTGCAGCCAATAACGCTTGTCGTGTGCACTGTTTGCAGGTACAAGAATGTCTTGATT